TTCATAATAATTTAGAAAATGTTATGCTCAGTAGCTGAAATTAAATGTCACCTTTTTGCATGAATACCTTATGCCGGTATCCTCATATTTTGCAAATATAAAAGAATTACCACCCCCCCCCCTCCCCTCCCTCCTCATTTCAAATGATCTTGAAATTTGCACACAAGATTTGGTTTTTACCTAGTGCTCTTGAAGAAAGATCTTTCTCTGCAGGTTTGTCCCCTGAAAAATAATTAATGTTCCATAAGTATCCATATATGATCATCATATCCTTAAGGTGGCTTCATATAGTTTCAGGCTTTAGAGTAATAGAACTAGAAATTATGTTATAGCAAATACAGATCTATATCTTGATATCTGATACACTAACCATATTAAAGACTATGAGTTTAGGAATCATTTTTCGTGAAAATGATCACGTGAATAGTTACCATAGCAGCGACACGTCAGCCACAAAACGGGCCCTTTTTGCCATTAAGAAATTAAAATCTCGAATTTAACGTATTCAATCATTTTTATATTTTGTAATATGAAAGTTTGTTTTGTTATCTATTATATGACAGAGTTTTATTAAGATCGTGACTACAGAAATCAAGATTTTAAAGAAAGAGCGATTTTTCAAGATAAAAAGTTTTCTATAGTCCAATTCTTTAAAATATATTGTCAGTCGCCTTATTATTCTACGGAAAAAAACTGTAGAAATGTAAAGATATTTGACCACATAGTTTTCGAGTTTTTAAAAAAAATAATGCACACCTTTTCGTTACGTCATCAAAATAAAAGTTCTGGTACTGCACATGCTTGTGCTTTAAACATGGCGCGTGCGTACAAAAACTGTCATAAACATGTTCTACCACTCTAACTGACATCTTACACACCATAACCTGACTGGACCATTACAGTCACCATACCAACCACTTCATGTCATATACATGTCCTACCACTCTAACTGACATCTTATACACACCATAACCTGACTGGATCATTACAGTCACCATACTAACCACTTCATGTCATATACATGTCCTACCACTCTAACTGACATCTTACACACCATAACCTGACTAATCCATTACAGTCACCATACCAACCACTTCATGTCATATACATGTCTTACCACTCTAACTGACA